GAGGGGCCCTAGCCTTAAAAAGTTGCCTGTAGGATTGGTGAAGATCCCAAATGGGAAGGCTTTAAATCCATTTTCACCCAGCACAGAAAACAGTGGACAAATGTTAATAGGCTTCTGGGTGCATTAGATTAGAGTAGCCCCAATGCTGCTAGCCTTTTGTAAAGCCCTTGAGATCAAGGATGGTGGTCAGGAAGTGGTTGAGCCCATGAACCGAATGATGTTTTTGCTGCCCGGTTTATCCTTGGTGGCCATTTTTCTTTTTGTTTCCTGAATGTATATTTCTGAAAACAGTATTTATTGCATTTTGCTGTTCTGAAATGGGTGGCCAGTGATTATCTAGTAAATGAACGAACCCAACCAACCAACCAACCAACCAACCAACCAACCAACCAACCAACCAAATAGGCTGGCATAATGCGGGTAGCCAATCTCAATCTGCGTATAAGAAGCAATTATTAGGGGGGATCGGGGTCACTTGCCCCTGGCATTTCAAAGTGTCCCATTTTCCCCTGGCCCTAACTTTGGCTCAGTGTGTTGTGATGGCCACGGGACCTAATAAAACCTACACGGACATCCAGGGATCCAAATATTCTCTCCATATTTGTTTGCTAGCTTCCACCTGAAGCTCTGATCTTCAGCTGTGCTCCTTCTAAACAGAGAACAGGAGATCCATCAGCCATTCTGAGTTTGATAGAGGCTCGGCACAATGTCCTACTTGCTAGGAAGAGCTGTGTGTGTCTGCTGCTTGCACAATGCACAAGTCTTAATTGGCACCTCCCAGGTCATGACCCTTTCCTATCAATGTACCGTTCAATCCTTAAAAAAGAATCTACCAAGTTTTATTTTTTTAAAAAAAATGTTGAAATTGATGCAAAATGCAAGCGACCCGTCTCATTGCCTGTTTCTGAATGCAGGGTATACACGTGCATATACTTAAAGATACACTATGATTGTGTACTCATTGTTCAGGGAAAACAACCGTAAGTGAAGTGAAAATTCTGTGCTCATGCCCCCCTCAGCTTTTTGTCAGTGCTCACATCCTTTCGCACGCCTGAAAAAAACAGGTAAAGTTATTGTCACTATCTTCTCCATTTCTGAAGATGTTCCCTACCACCCCTAATTCACGTTCCTCTTTTTATTTGGCGGGTGGGTTTACACCTAAACAAAGCACTATGCTGCAGCAATTCATCCACTGTTATTTCCTAGGATCTCCCATGGATCTCAGAGACATTGTGGTTGGAGTTTTCCTCTGTGCCATTGCCCAGTTGATGAATAATGATAAAGTAAAAGAATCAGTTAGAAAATGCAGAAGCAGAGATTCACGTTGGGAACCCTAGAAACAAGCAATCATCTCTCTCTCTCTCTCTCTCTCTCAAGATACTTAATGCAATGGTTGTATCTCAGGCATTTGGACTACTTTGGAACACATCCTGGAACATGTCTTGAATCACACCATGCTTATCTGGCTCTTAAAATGCAGGTTGTCTCAATCACCTAAGGTGGGAAACAGAGCAAGTACAAAGCCCTTGATTGAGAATTTAGATTCCCAACCTGGATTTTATGGCCTTCAATATGCCCATCTAAGTTTTATTATTTTTAGATTCTTTTCACTGAAAAGAGGTAGGAAAGTAAGCTGTTGGGAAGGGAAGCATCAACCCCAGCATATTTATTTCCAAGAATGCTTCTGGGAATGCATATACTCTAGAGGAATCTTAGAAAATAAAAATGATATGGCCGTGTGCCAACTGACTCAGAAAAAGGACAGAAGAACATTGAGATGGTAGCAAGTATCAGTACTGTACAAGGATCCTGGTAAATGGATGACCACAACAGGTGCCATTTTATGAAAGGCCTACAGTCAGAGCTCTCATCATTATAGTCTGATAGGTAGGGCCTCCTTTTCATTAACTGAGAACTTCAACTCAAATTGGAATAGATCACTCTATCAGAGATTGGATTTCTATGGCTTCTGTAGCGATGCTTTCCTGATGTTGGGATTTGAGAATGCCAAAGAAGCACTAGGAGACCAGGAATTAATAGAAGCAAATATGTGTAGCTCAGGGTTGAACTGAGGAGTCCTTGGGGTTCTCTGAGCTTGGTTGTTTTCTTGCAAATGTTTCATTACCCGGCTAGGTAACATCTTCAGTGGTAGAGTGGAGTGGGGTTTGCTCTCTCTTTATATACTGTGGCATGCCCTGCCAGTGTTGGTGGGAGTTTTGTTTTATTTCTCCCCTCTGGCAGTTCCTTGATTATTGTTTACTGCTTGTATGTCTGGTGGCAATCTTGGTGTTAATCTCTGCTTATCTGGGTGATGATTGCTGGTGAGGAGAAGTTCTGGTCTTTTATTTTCCTTTCTACTGTCTCTTTTGAATAGTGTGTAGATGCTGTTTATCTCTATGTACCTGTTGATGGCTGCCTTGTCTGTTGTGGACATATGGACAGACTTAACCATAGTTTCAATTGGGAAACTGTTAGCATCTTAGACCAAGCTAAATCCAGAAATGCAAGGGAATTCCTGGAAGCTTAAGGCAGCCATCAACAGGCACATAGAGATAAACAGCATCTACAGACTATTCAAAAGAGACAATAGAAAGGAAAACAAAAGGCCAGAACTTCTCCTCACCAGCAATCATCACCCAGATAAGCAGAGATGAACATCAAGATTACCACCAGACATACAAGCAGTAAACAATTCCTTAATCAAGGAACTGCTTGAGGGAAAAAATAAAACAAAACCAAACCCACACCCCCACCAACACTGGCAGGGCATGCCACAGTATATAAACAGAGAGCGAACTCCATCCCATTCTAGCAC